TCCTCCCAGTGTTTCCTGCTTCATCCGTCTTTCATTTTCAAAAGCCAACTGGCATATGCAAAACCAATTCGTACTTCTGACATCGACTTCGCATGGCCAAGCTTTGAGGAGCACATCATTTAGGGTTCAGATGCATGTTGTAGTCTTGTGGCGGAACCTCCGGGATGTGTATTCTCTGTGATTGCCCTCATGGTTTTGAAATTTCGGGCGTGTGATTGGATTGTTATAAATTGTGCAGAAAATACCGTAAAACTTACATTTCCATTTTTTGCTACGTGTCCTCTTGCCGTGGCAGCTAGGCTTGATGACTTGCGAAGCTTGGAGCAAGAAATGTTTGAACAGGTGCCGGAGCTTACTGGAAGCAAGCATCAACTCCTTCTTAGAAAGCAGCCATGGATTCAATTGCCTTGTGAAAAAAAACACTTGCAAAGAAGTTTGTGGATGTGTTCCAACATGTCGCGCGCTGCAGAGTTTATGAGTGGCGTGTTCAAGTTGATTTTGACATAGCTTTGGTCAAGTTTGCGCGCCGGCCCTCCCAGCGGATATTTTCGGATTTTGGCGCCGTGCTTTTGTTTTGGGAGTAGGCCTCTTCCAAGACTTGTGGTTTCTAGCGCGGCCAGCATGTCCCAGGCGAGAAAAGTGGCAGCTGATTTGACAGCAGAGCTTTGGTACGGTATTAGCATGGGCTTGCAACTTGTTTCCAGCTTCTGAGCAAGCCCAATTTTTCCGAAAGTAAATGTTTCATTGCAACTTCGGAAGCCTTGCTATTGGACATGTTTTCTTGCCGTTTTCAAGTTTTTAGATTGTGGGACCTTTATTTTTTGTTCAACACGGTCAGTAGGCTTGGAGATTACTTTTTTGTTCAACATGGTTTGTTTACTTCCATTGAAGATCGTGATGCGGGATCTATGTGTGTGTGTGTTTGTGTGTGTGTGTTTGTGCATGTCTGTTCGTGAAGGTGGGCATCGGTGTGAGTGTTCAAAAGCATCCGTGATGGGCGGAATCTGTCGAGCAAAGCTATTGGGGTCGTCGCTAAGACATGAGATATATATATATATATTACTATATTAAATTAAACTATATTTTATTTTATTTTAATTTATCCATTATATTATAATTTATTATATTATATTATTTGTTGTTTTATTAGGTTTATTTGATGCACACGTCCCGTTGTCCATTTTGCTTGCTCCAATCTACAAAAGTCTTACGGAAGGAAACTTTTCTGGCAGCAATAGCTCCAGTGATTCAAACTTGAACTTGAACATCCAGATTTTAAACACATGTGTGATTGCCGGGGCCGCAGCGGCCAAAGCATCACCCTGCAGCGGCACCAACATGCCCACTCCAAAGCGCGCGCACCGCTCTGACAGCAGCACCTTCAAGCAGCACCCTGCAGCGGCATCCTCTACCAGTGCACACACCACTCTGACAGCAGCACCCTGCACCGGCACCCTGCAGCGGCACCCAGCGACACCAGCATGCCCGCTCTAAAGCGCGCGCACCGATCCGCATGGACCCAAATTGAAGCTATGTGATGCACACGAATTCCAAGTCACGTCCAGAGTGGTGCAATTTGGGACCCTTCGACAGCTTCACAGCAAGTCGGGCCCCCAGGGAGGCACACCACGAGGAACGTTGCTTCAAACGAAGCGTCATCGATAACCAAAATTTGGTGGAAAATACCAGTATAAACGCGTGTTTTGACGATTTCGGTTGGGCCGGCAATGTCCCCCGTATCGAACCCATATGGAGCTCAACTTGAGTTGCTTTCAAATGGGCCCGACTTAGGATTAAGTTGCGGCATGTTGGGGCCAAGCTGTGCCGAAGTTGGAGCCAGGGGGGGGGCCCGTTGGGCCGCAGTTGGGGCCGTCTTGGCAACAGTTAGCCGATGTTGCTGCCATGTCGGATCGAAACGGTGCATTTGGCCGACGAGGGGCCGATCTCCAAACCGTGCAAAACGCTTGGGAGATGGTCGGGGTGGTTGGGGCTGGCATGGCTGTGACCGTCAGGGCGTTTGGCGTAGTTGGGATATGCAGTCGAACCAGTTTTCCCCATACTACCATGCTTGTCAAGCTTCAACTCATTTGACATCTCAGTGGCCCTTTGTTGATCAGAGTTGGTTCCTTTTAGTTCTTCACGAGAAAAGTGTGGCATTTACCAAGAGAGCAGGTGGGCGTGTATGTATATATATATATGTTATAAGATGTTATAAGTATTTATATATACATATGTGTGTTTTTGCATGTATCGTAATGAAATGTAATGTGGTGTAATGTAACGTGCATTGTATGAGTCTGTAGGTATGTATGCGCGTATGTATGCATGCATGCAGTATGGAGGTATGCATGTATGTCTGCATATATGATTATATATGTATGTGTGTGTATGTATCTACCTACCTACCTAACTACCTATCTATCTATCTATCTATCTGTCTATCTATCTATGTATATGCGCGTATGTGCATGTATATATTTATATGTATGCGTATGTCCGCGCATGTATGTGTATGCATGTATGGCTTGCCGCTGAAAGGTAGAATGGGTGGAACAGGCGTTGCGGAAAAAAAAACGTCACCGTGCTGATTAACCCAGCAGTCAGGTTTCAAATTCCAGGTCAAAATGACGGTCAGAAGGTTCGCGGGCCGTGTCCATGTTTGGGTCACATTTTGATTTTCAGCGTGGGGACATAGTGACTATCAAAGTGGGGGACGCGGCGGGACACACAGTTTGAGACAGCGAGGAATAAAGCGGGAGACAAAACGGGAGACGCAGTGGGAAAGAAAGATGGTGCCAAGTAGGAGACAAAGGGGTAAAAGGTGGGAGATACAGAAGAAGACACTGTGGGAGCCAAGGAGGGGGACAAAGTGCAAGACAAAGTCTAAACAAATTGGGAGACAAACCCGGAAACAAAGCGGGCAAAAAATCAGAAAAACAGTGGGAGACAAAGTCAGGGACAATAGGGGCACAAGCTGGGAGACGACATCCCGGGAGACAGGGCAGTGTGTGACAAAGTGAGACACAAAGTGAGAGACAAGGTGGGGGAGAAGCTGGGAGACAAAGTTTGCGACAAAAAAGTGGGAGACACAGTGGGCAACGCGACGAAAAAAAGGGGATGCTGAAAGACCTGTAGGAAGGGTTCCATGCATATCCATTATTGCATATCATGCGTACAACCGGCAACTAGCGGGCACACAAGTCTTATGTCATGTGTCGTCATGCCTCCCGAGCGCCCAAGACGCATTTTTCGGGCGTCCTTGGATCAAAAACCTTGCGAACCGTCGCCTGTTTTTTGAGTTTGGATTGATGACTTGGGAAAGAAAATCTGTCAAAAAATAGGGAGAAATCATGAGAAACCCCGACGGCAACTTTGGTGTCTATTTCTGCCAACTGTGGTCCTAAGTCGTTTGAACTTATTACAATTTGGCCTGATTGACATGTCAACAGCTGCCAACTCGGTTTGCGGCTGCGTTGGATCACATCTGAGGAATCATGCTTGCTTGAGGCGCGCTGCGATTTACTCGCGTTCACATTGCTCCGCTTTTCAAACTATAGCCTTGGGAAGCAAGATTCCACGACTGAGAATTTGCCCATCCGGCAGCAAAACCTGTTCAAGTGGAGTCTTGATTTTTTTCTGTTTCTTGTTTGATTGGAGACATGAAACGAAGTGATCCACCCACATCCAAGACCCGTGGATGGTCTGGCAGGGGGTGAACATGGCGGAGGTCCTGCGTATGCAAAGCAAGAATCCGAAAAGATTGGTTTGCTTCTCAGAATCCAATAGGTGTTTGATGTGATTTGATGTTGTTTACGTGCTTACACAAGCTCCTTGGTGGCGGGGCGCAAACCAGCAGTGGCCAAGCCAATGAGACGACCATTGCCATAGCCCTCCATGAAACGACCTGAGCGACGGGCAGCAGTTTCAAGCATTTCGCAGTTTTGAACTTGTTCAAACGATGTTTTTCCTTTTCGTTTTGCGCCCAGGTAAGGAAGGGCACCAGCAAGAAATTGGTTTGAGCAAACTGGAGTAACGGCTTGCACGACACGGAAGCGCCCCACCGTAGATTCAGAAAGGCGAAGACGCAACGATTCTCACTTCAGGGGCAGCACCTGGCATTCTGAGCCTAAAAGATTCCATGCCGTCCGGGAGGCTGAAACTCTTCCAGAAACATCAGCGCATGAAACTCCAGATGTTTTTGATCCACACTTGGTTGATCCTACACTGCTTTCAAATTGTGGCGGTTGGAAAGCTGGACCCCGGAAATTCGGGCGCTTCAGCGAAACATAGATTCCCCGCACGCGCAGCTGAAAAGAATGGTGCCGCATGCTCGCAGGTGCCGGCGTCCTTTGGGTGTTCCAAGTGGTTCAATTGTGACTTGTAAAAAGTCAAATGGGTGCAGATGGTATTGCAAGGGGGCGGTCTAGATCCCACATCTCTTAGCTTCCGTACGAACATATTGCCAAAGCAATGGCAATGCAACTGGCTACCGCATCTGTTGTTGAGGCTTCAGCGTTTGTCTCAATTCTTCGACCCCTTCTTGGCATGACTAGGCACCGCATTTTGCCAGGGAATGGCGTCGTGGGCGATTAGGACTGGGCGTTTCTGGCATTCCGATTGAAGCGCTGGCTCAACTCAGAACATGGTGTGTAGACCCATGCAAAACATATTTATCCAAGACATGCTGACTGCAACGCTTGAATATCGGGGACCCAACCAATCCAGCAAAGTGTCAAAAACGTTCTTGATCCTGTAAACCTTACGTATACATAAGGCGCTTCACCTTTGCTGTGTTGTTTGCTCAGTATCTCATTGCATATGGTTCAACTGTTCATTTTAAAATCAAGACTATAAGATGATTGTTGCCCAAGCTGCCCCCCATCTAGAAGCAGTGGCCCCTGCCTTTGAGCAAGCAGATCCAAATAGGATGTCCAAACAACAAGGACTCCAAAACATTGCAACACTTGATCAAGTCATTGGAAAAAGACACATCAGTCAAATCTTCACTTTCAGCCCAATGCTGCGGCCATGGAACATTCGTACCACAATCAAACAGGTGCTGTGACAGGAGTGTCTCTGCAAGCCGAAATCTTTCCCCGATATTTTCTTTAAGTTCACTGCCACGGAATGCGTGTAGGTGTTTTATATACATGCTGCGCAGCAAACCCATTATCCCGATGCTTATTCAGAGCAGTTGTTTCTGAGCAGTGTTGTTGGCACCGCGAATCAGCGCATTGTATTCGTGAAATATTTTAAGTTGGGATTTAAGTTTACAAATTTTAACATGGGTTACAGTTACAATATAAGTTCCATCCTTCGTAGGACCTGCATTGCAAGCTGAAAATGTGGCGGCTGCTGAAGTCGCCTCCTTCGGTTATGAGAGAGCCTACCATTTTAGCTTCTGCATTGACCGCAGCGCCTGTGGCGCCGCCTTGGTCTGCCCAGCATGCTGAGGCAGTAAACTGCAGATGGACCGCAGATGCTTGCCACAAGACTTGTTCACTTGTTGTGTGCTCCGTGGTGTCTAGTGTGAAAAGTATGTAAAACATCTTTATGTTTTAGCAGAGGAAGTTTCGAAGCGATACTTCCGTGTTGCAGAGTTTAGACTGAAAAACCATCATTGACAAAAACCATCGGTGAGTGACTGCGTGTGTCGTTGCGGACCGCGTGGCCCTCGAGCCTGTCGGTGCGTGACGGCGCGTGTCGTTGCGGGCAGCGTAACAGACGGGATTCTGCCTGGCTGAAAAATGCTGACGCAATCGGAAAAAATCAATAAATGAGAATAGCTAAGAGGAGTTGAAGTTATGAAGATTTCAGATGAGCTCAAAAGAGGTGAGAAAAACTGAGTCGAGATGAGAAGAGACGAAAAGAGCTGAGATGAGCTGGGATGAGCTGGAATGAGCTAAGAAGAGGAAAGGAGAGATGAGAAGACATGAGCTGAAGTGAGCTGAGACGAGATGAGCTGACCCGAGAAAAGCTGAGATGAGATGAGGAGAGAAGAGATGAGAAGTGAAAAAAGATATCAGAGGACTGAGGTGTCAAGAGATGGCTCCTGCAACGCACGCGGCAGGGAGCTCACATCCTACAGGCACCTTTTGCTTCCTGCTCTACAAGCCTTTTCTTTTTGTAACTAGGCTTGCGCCAAGGTTCAAAGGTGTTAAAAGTTAAAAACACAGGGTGAGGGAGCGGAGTAGCGTGGGCTTGTTTCATGTTGGAATCCGAACGAGAGCACTCGAATCTTAATAGAGCCATGCTTCAACCACAATAAAACGCACGGTAGCTTAAATTGGCTTCAGAAGCTGCTTCAGAGAACGCGGGTAGTTTCACTTTTCTCTGCAGCTTTTGCCTTCAAAAATTTAATAGGCTCGTAAGGGGCAAAGAAATTGCGAAAACAACGAAAACAACATGCTCGGCCACCGCGGCGCGAATCGAAAACAAGCGCAAGCGGAAACACAGGCTAAAGCTAGATGATGTTGGATGGCAGGGCATAGTCGAATTTTCTAGCCACAGTCACTGGATCTCAACGGCATGGCTGCAGGGTAGATGAGCCCCAAGGTTTGATTCATTGCTTTTCTGGATCAAATCCTGTCTAGCACTCCCTCATTTTCACGCGCTGTCACACACAGCTGCATCACACGCACCGGGTTGCAAAGAAGCAAGCCCTTTAGCGCGTTTCTTGCAGGCCACAGCTTTGAGGCATCGGCTGGAAATTCTGGCAAGACACCTCGAGATGGGTGAAGGCTTGGGTCAAGAAACGGGGGATGCTACATGATACATGCAACGTTTGTGTTTTAGCATTTTTTTCACTTGCTTGGACATGTTCCAATCAACTTGTCGCAAGTTGGGCCGTGCTTACGCCCCGCATCGATTGGGTGCAAGTATAGTGAGTGATGGTGCACATGTGAATGAGTGACTTTTTGATGGCAAGAACATGTTCGGCTCGCCATGCCAGGCGAAGCTGTTGACCATGCTTGGGTTCAGCGCTTCGTTGCAAGTCACACGCGCTTGGTAGAACTTGGATGTCGCCTCGAGGCGCCTGTGAATTTCCCAGAAGAGCTCAGTAACATGCCACCAATTTCGTAGCATGAACAACGCAAAGTGGCAGCAAAAGGATGGACAATGCTTCGATATGTTTCGGGCGAAGAAGCAAGTCTTTCGCTGCACCGCAGCGACGCTAACATGTGTAATTGCTAGATTTGTTTTGGCATGTTCTTCCGTGTGGGGTGAGAGCTTGTAAGTTTGCAAGAATACCACGTTTATCGTTCTGTTGGGAAAAATCAGCTGGGTCTTTTTTCTCATGCTAGAACGTGCATGCAGGCATTTTTGGTTTGCGCCCGTGCTCGTACATCCGTACGCATATACTGTACGCTGAACGCGGATGAGGCTAACTCTTAAGTTCCTGATGTAGATTTAGTGAACCAACAACCTCGGAAAGGAATCAGATTGGCGGCAACCAACCCTACAGAATGGAAAATATCATGCCGACGCGCCATGTCCAAAAAATGGAAATGGTATTGTAGGCACATCGGGATGTTCAGTCCCGATGTCACAATCTCAAGCCGCCGTCTTGGTTTGTGAATGTAGTGAGATTCACTGCCCCCTTGCCCATGTGAAATGCCGATAAGAAGAGAACCAGCAACTCCAAAAAGGTTTCGGCACACAAACTTGCTGAATCGAGGTACTTCCTTTGTTCAGAACTCCAAAGAAAAAGTCTCAGCAATAGAAGTTTTCGCATTTTGTCAGATGGTACACGCACATTTCCTGGCACAGCAGGGTCTTGTTGAAAGATGCTTCGGGCAGCTCAACAAGCTTGGCGCACGGCCTAGCGAGACACAAAGGTCATCGGCAGAAAGTTTACCGACGAAACTGAGACCGGCCTTTCTCCAGCCGTAAGTTGGATTCATGAGGATTTGGGCTGCCATGAACGTAGAGTCGAAGCATTAGAGATCCATAGAGATCTCATTTTCCTTTGCCCGATGTCAATGAACATCACTATCCTGCGCGTGCACCCCACCCCATGTTGCTTTACCCGATGTCAATGCGTGCGGTGATGTTGGTGATGATGATCATGACCATGATCATGATAATGATGATGATCATGATGATGATCATGATCATGATCATGATGATGATGATGATGATCATGATGATGATGATGATGATGATGATTAAGATGCTGACTATTGGTCTTGTTGTTGCTTGCACGCAAAAAAAGCCATTTACACACAGACGCTCTTACACGGTTCCGGCAGAAAGCGGTGCCACCTTGTCATAAATCGTCCCAGGCTCGTGTACCCGACCTATTTGTGCAGTCCAGGCTTTATGCTTCGTGAATTTTCTTTCATGAAATTTATGGTGTGCGTATGCGACTCCGTCATGATGACAGTTTTCTGTTGCCATCTGACTACTGCATTTCCCCGAGCAGTGTGGCCACACTTGGGGTTCTTACGGTAATGGTTAAGGTTAAGGCATCTAAAGGCCGGGTGTTTTAACGCAGATTTTTTTTCACGCAAACAACGCGTTTAAACAGCGATGTTTCTACACGCAGGCATTTTGACGCACAGGAAGGCCCAGAAAGCTTTTACACGCACAAGCCTTTACACACGGAACGCTTTTACATACGATGTTTCTACATACAGGCGCTGTTACACACAGAAGCATGCGTGACATGGTTCATCGCAGAACATGCGTTTTGGGTGGTGCATTCTGCCGCTAGATCCGCAAGGCAACGCCCACGCGACAGCAAGGCACAGCACAGTATGATACTTATGGCGTAACTAAACAAACTCGGCAAAAGGTTGTACGGGCTTGTGCCCCGGCATGCGCACTGGAAAGAATACAGGGGCTTGACTGAGAACAACTAGATTTGATTTATTTTAACGCTCTTGTTGTGATGCTACTGACGCGCGCGCCCTTCTGATCGAAGCAGCGCCATAGAATTTCAGCCCAGTTCAGTTCGCTCAAAACCACGATGTGAGGAAACCTAAACTAACTCATTGAAGATAGCGGAAGAAGGAATGGTGCTTTTGCAAGAGCGCGCTGCTTTTTTTCAAGCATAACTGCAGTAGTGGAGAAGCCGCTAAACCGTTTAAACCGGTTTCCATCTCATTGCTGCAGGAAGGCTTCGTCGATGTGGATTCCGAGGCCGTGATGGGGGACGGCAGTGGCGCAGCACAAGAAGCTGCGAATCTGCGAGCCATCCAGATGTTTCATTGGTATTGGTCCGTTATGCACCGTTGTTTTTCATGTCATTTTTACATGAAGCAAATATCAAGTTATCATTGAAAAGCTGCTGGGCCATCAAAGGGGCTTGGATGAGAGCAAGGCATACATACGTACTACATACGTGTACTTGCAAATTCCGGCTCGGCCGCGCTCTGAACCAAGTTAAACGTCAAAATAGTAGATGTTCCATGTTGTCTCGCTCGTGTTGGTAAGGTTTTTCCAACAAATTATGCTGTGCCCCTGTATCTCATGAATATCGCTAAGCATATCGTTTATAGACCATTTCTTTTTTATTGATTGGTTCGGATTTGCATCTTGCGCTTTGGGCTTGCGTTCTCCGAGGGAAAGAAAGAGTAGCCGTGAGTAGCCACATGATCACATTTCATGTACGGCTTCTAAACTCCCGAAATCTTCCCTGGCCCAAAACAGTGTGGTAGCACGTGGGGTTGCAAGGCTTGGCTGGTCCAAGGTTCGCAAATGCGGTTCCAGTTTGTTTTTGGAAGATAAGAGGTCCTTCTCTCCTGTGTTTGGAAGAAGTCTGGCAAAACATGCGATTTACAGTAAATTTCGCGCGTTTGCTATCTCCAAAAACGCGTTTCCTGGGAGACTTCTTTCAAAAGCTGAAAGAACAAGTTGTGAAAAGGAAGCTTTTCTGCGAGGCGTCCCTGAAAAACTCCGAGTTGAAGTTGTGAAACAACGCTTTCATTCAAAACGTCCTTCGGGAACTGCAATTTCAACATATTAAAATGAAGCTTTCGTGCGAGATGTCTTTCAAAGCCTGCAACTTGATTGCTGTGAAATTTCTTTGTAAACTTCCTTCGGTCAATATGCACACACACACACACTTTTACGCTTGGAAGTTTTCTGCGCAGAAGCTTTGACACAGAGAAGCCTTTCCACGGACCAGCTTTTACACTCTTCAAAGCAAATTTTATACGTCAATATTTGACGTCCGACCATACTTTCATGCGAAAAAAGTTGCGTTCGACGTTGTAAAAAATCGCAAGTTTACTTCAATTTTCGACGTTCGACCATCATTTTGCGCGAAAGGGTTGCGTTTGTTGTTGGAAATTCACAATTTTACACTAGATTTTCACGTTCGGCCCTCATTTCACGCGCAAGGTTTGCATATGTTTTCATCGCCTGGCCTTTCGAAATTGCAATTACAAATGTTTCAACAGTTTTTTGACATTAGCATCTGACATTGTGCAATTGCAATTTTACCTCAGTTTTTGCCCTTTGACATGGATTGCATCTGGCATTTCAAATTCCGGTTTGGCACACGTTTGGGCTTCGGGCACGCACCATCTCCGCAGAGTGTTGCGCCAGCACAGGACAAATTCCCATTGCGCCACACGTCGTTTGGACGTCCGGCGCGCACTATCTCCACAGACGGTTGCTCGGGCAGACGAACCAATTTGCATTCCACCACACGTTTGGGCATCCAGCAGGCACGATCTCCGCAGAGGCCACGTTTCGATAGATGCGGCCTGGCTGCCCCTGCCGCCAAAAGAGATAAATAGAGAAACTTGAGATGTAAAGTACAAACTCCTGTGTAGCAACTCCTGTGCAACAACTGCTGTGTAGCAACTCCTGCGTAGCAACTCCTGTGTAACAACTCCTGTGCAACAACTCCGGTGTACCAACTCCAGTGTACCAACTCCAGTGTAGCAACCCCTGTGTAAATGGCATTACAGTAGTTTTATAGGGGTTGAGATAGAAGTCGATCACCTGCAAGTCAACTCTTGTGTATGTGACCTGGTGAAGGTTTTGTGAAAGGACGTTTAGACGTTGATAGTTGATACTTCTGTCTTATAGGTATTTAAAACAACACAGAAGTCTCACAGAAAAAAAGCCTCACAGCAAAGAAGTCCACAGCAGAGAAGTCCAACAGCAAAGAAGCCTAAGAGCAAAGCAGCCAAAGAGCAAAGAAATCCCACAGCAAAGAAGTCCACGAGCCAAGAAGCCAAAGAGCAAAGAAGTCTCAAAGCAAAGAAGTCCAATAGCAAAGCAACCAAACAGCAAAGGAGTGTCACAGCATAGAAGCCCACAGCAAAGCAAAGAAGTTCAGGAGCACAGAAATCCAAGAGCAAAGAAGTCAAACAAACAGCAAAGAAGCCCCAGAGCGAAGAAGCCCACAGCAAAGAAGTCCAAAAGCAAAGAAGTCCAGGAGCACAGAAGACCAAAAGCAACCAAGTCCAACAGCAAAGAAGCCCAATGGGAAATCATACTTCCGACAACATGGACAGATGAAAAGCAGAGATGGGAAGAGCTAGGGAAGAGAAGAGAAGAAGAAAGAAGATCAAATTACTTTACTTCGTGTGATCCCCACCATGACATTTATACATTTTCTTACTGGCAAATCTTCTGGCATTCTATCTGACATATCTTCTAACAATCTATTTGGCATTCTATCTGGCATATCTTCTGGCATTCTATTTGGCATTCTATCTGGCATATCTTCTGGCATTCTATCTGACATATTTTCTAGCATTCTATCTGGCATTCTATCTGGCATATCTTCTGGCATATATTCTGACATATTTTCTGGCATTCTATCTGGCATCCTATCTGGCATTCTATTTGGCATTCTATCTGGCATATCTTCTGGCATATCTATCTGGCATATCTTCTGGCATATCTGGTCTGGCATCTCTGGCATCTATCTGGCATTCTATCTGGCATATCTTCTGGCATATTACCTGGCATTCTATCTGGCATATCTTCTGACATATCTTCTGGCATTCTATCTGGCATTCTATCTGGCATTTTATTTGGCATTCTATCTGGCATATCTATCTGGCATATCTTCTGGCAGATTTTCTGGCATTCTATCTGGCAAATCTTCCTACATGAGGTCCGGCAGGGAACACTTGGCGTGGATACTCGCGGTTGAGGTCCGGCAGGGAACACTTGGCATGGATACTCGCGGTTGAGGTCCGGCAGGGAACAATGGGCGTGGATGGTCGTGGTTGAGGTCCGGCAGGGAACACTGGGCGTGGGTGGTCGTGGTTGAGGTCCGGCAGAGAACACTGTGGATCGCGGGTCGCAGTTGAGCAAGGACGACGAGGACGACGAGGACGACGAGGACGACAAGGACGACAAGGATGACAAGGAGGACGAGGAGGAGGAGGAGAGGAGGACGAGGCAGGAGGAGGCGGCAGGAGGAGGAGAAGGAGGAGGAGGCAACTGACATAAAATCTAACAACCCTCACCTGGCAGGTGGGGAAAAAGAGAAAGCCTCAGAAAAAAGAAGATCCAGGTGCGCGAAAAGGTAGGAAAGTCGCGCTGCGGAGCCAGCTGGCCAGATGAGAAATAAAAAAATTGCATGCCGTTGTGGGACGAAGCACATTTCGAAGTCAAAATATACAAAACACCGCAGCTTCAGAGCACTTTTAGAAGTTGCGATGTCGAAAAAGTGCACGTCGCTGTGGCGCGAAGCACGTTTCGAAGTAAAAATGCACAAAACAATTCAGCTTCGGAGCACTATTAGAAGATGCGATGTGGAAAAAGTGCACGCCGTTGTGGCGCGAAGCACATTTCGAAGTCAAAATATACAAAACCCACCGTGCTCGGAATTACTTTTGGAAGTTGCGATGTGGGAAAAGTGCACGCCGTTGTGGCGCGAAGCACATTTCGAAGTCAAAATGTACAAAACACACCACGCTCGGAATTACTTTTGGAAGTTGTGATGTGGAAAAAGTGCACGCCGTTGTGGCGCGAAGCACATATCGAGGTCAAAAGTAGAAAACTGACGGGTTGGTCGAGATGTCGAAAAAGTGCACGCAGTTGTGGTGCGAAGCACGTTTCGAAGTCAAAAGTGTAAAAAAACTGACGGTTCAGAGCACTTTTGGACGTTCAGATGTGGCAGGAGCAAGGGATTGTGCACCTTGTCAAAAGTTGTGGCATTTCCTAAAATGATGGCAGGCGTGGGACATATGCAAAGGATCTGGCAAGATGTCTTCGCGTGGCAGGTGCAGTACAACAGACATGATCATCAGAGATGTTAGGAGGTCCGGGTGCTGAATTCCTGAGAGGGGTTGCATTTTGGAACCTGAGATCTTCAGTTTTGGGAAGATGACCTTGCATGACAGGCGCAGCACTTCGTATGACCTGGCATCACTTTTTCGTGGCAGGCGCAGTACTTTAGACAGGTGGAGTGGAAAGATCGCAAAACGCATTGGTACGAGGCCGTCAGCTCTACACTCAACCTTCCATTTTTGAAGGAAGTCTCGCAGAATTGTTTCGTTTTTGATGTTGTCAATTGCGAAAATTGAGGAAGTCTCGCAGAATTGTTTCGTTTTTGATGTTGTCAATTTTAAACATTGAGGAAGTCCCGCTGAATTGGTTCGTTTTTGACGTTGTCAAGTTCAAAAATTGAGGAAGTCTCGCAGAATAGCTTCGTTTTCAAACTTGCAGATAGATAGAGAGATAGATAGATAGAGAGATAGAGAGATAGAGAGATAGAGAGATAGAGAGATAGAGAGATATAGAGATAGATAGAGATAGATAGAGATAGATAGATATAAATAGATATAAATAGATAGAGGTAGATATAGATAGAGGTAGATAGAGATAGATAGAGATAGAGATAGATAGAGATAGATAGAGATAGATAGAGATAGATAGGAACAGATAGAGATAGATAGAGATAGATAGACAGATAGAGATAGATAGAGATAGATAGAGATATAGATGCAGATAGATAGATAGAGATAAATAGAGATCGATAGAGAGAGAGAGATAGATAGATAGAAAGATAGATAGATACATAGACAGAAAGACAAATAGATAAACATATATTTAGATAGACAGATAGATAGACAACTGCAACTGCACTACACCACACTACAACTACAACTACACCACCACTACAACTTCAACTACAACTTCAACTACAATTACTACAGCTACAACTACAATTACAAGTGCCACTACAACTACAACTGCAACAACTACTACAACTACACTACAGCTGCAACTGCAGCTGCAGCTACAACTACAACTTCAGCTACACTGCAGCTACACTTGAACTACAACTTCAACTTCAACTACAGTTT